TTTTCAAACGTACGTCACGGGTAGTCGCCTCGATAAATTAGACGAATATAAATTAGAAAATAGTTTTGATAAACATAAATTAGAAAATAGTTTTGACGAACATAAGTTGGAAAATAGCTTTGTGTTATGATGAACTATTCCACTTGCATGTTCCCTTGTCAGTCTATTATATAGATGTCTGCAATATGGATGTTATGCGCGTCTAGTAGAGTCGCTTGTCGAGTAGTGGGAGCTCGAATTTCTCACGAGTACGAAACATTGCACCCATTTGACACTCAATAATTGAACGATAACGCCGAAAATGACATCCAAGTTGACAATCAATATCAAGATTTTCGTTGTATTTTTCGTTAGGGCAGGAAGATTGCATAAGTCTCCTAAAATCGTCGCAATGTAACGAACGAATGGATAGACCGTGCTCTTGGAACTCTCTGGGCAAGTTATAAAGAAGATGTCAAGAGTTCAACACTGTATTCATTTATGGGATACCATTAGCAAATCCTGTTATATTTCTGCTAGTAAGCTATCGACAAAATTTACGGCAGATACTGTGCAAAATCCACTTCTGCAGGTCTGGCTGACTTTATGTCGGGCAACATTCATTCAATGTATTCCCAATGAATGTCAATATAATCAGTATTGGACCAATGTACCGCCAATGAATAGTGTTACTAGTTGAAAGTTAATGCGGACGCGATGGATCGAAATCTGCCACAAATGCGTGATCGAGTTTGCTGGCGCTTTGCTGGCATATTTCTACCATTTTGTTATCTGGAATATTGTGAGAGGGAGAGAGAGAGAGAGAGATGTATATTTCTCATTGGGTCAAAGTAGTGTCAAAATATCATTATTATTAATGACACGATATCGTGAGATATCTTATTAGAATATCCTGGATATGGAGGATATTAGGATATCTGTCGAATCGCATTTAGAAATCTGAGACAATTTGGAATATTCCGAGGATAAAGCGCGCTGTTTAGGAGGCAACGTTGACCTCGTCTAGGAATAAGACAGGTGACCACTATAGGATCGATACTGCGGAGGTATACATTATGAAGTGAGATGAAAATAATATAGCACATTTTTTTATTTAAATAAAATAATCTAAAATTACTTTGTTCTACCTCGTTTGTATCAACAGAATTATTCCGCAAAGAATATTCTATGACTACAATAATTCATTCGTGTGGTATTTAATCAATGATTAAACATTGCCCTGATGGAAACATTTTATTGAAAATATAATGGAAATGTATTTGAAAATCTCTCTCTCTCTCTCTCTCTCTCTCAACTGATCCCATTTCATTATCATTTTATCAATATTTCTATAAAAAATTATTTTAACTGATATTTCAACAATTTTTCTTTAGAAAGTCACGTAGTATTCAGTTATATTGATACTAGGATATTTTCAAATTCGTTGTATGTACAATCAATAATTCAGTCATTTTAAGATCAATTTCACTTCTTAAACGGCAACATATAGCTTTTTTTTACACCAATTGATCGTTCTGATATCGAAAAGTGAAGATAAGATATACCTTATACTGAAAAATATCAGAATAAAAAGTAAAATATCTCGAGAAATATTCACTTTTCGATGATTTTACTCTGGTGATTTATACGCAGAATGAACTGAGAAGTCGATTTGTGTTAAGAAGAAAACTATATGATTTTATTAAAATAAATGAAACTGATCTTGAAGTGACCTCGAATTATTGACTGTGTAACGAAGTTAAGATCATCAAAATATGTGCCGCTCAAAACCCAAGAACTTTTGTTCGGAACATTTCTATCTATTTTACTTTACTTTTTATATAAACGTTTTACGTTTTTTTATACAGACGATTTTTATATAGACCTCTCAATGTAAACGTCACCTTGCATGCATGTCCAATATAAATATCGAATATTCGAATGATATATCGTCTGCGATAAAAGTTGCTACTTACTTAGTGATATCCTTATGTTGCGCATGTTCTAATATGATATTCGTATGCAGGATGTCCCGCGTAACGCGTCCGAAGCCACATAAAATGGGTGCCACAAAACTCGAGAGGTACATAGGAAAACATGGTCGTAGTCACTGCTTTTCGCACCACCGCGTCAAGTTTCGAGTCATTAAAGAAGATGGGCAGGCGAGCCGGCGCGCGTGCGACGTTGACCAAACGAGCTGTGAAACNTCGTGGACACTCACGAATCGCCGCGTTCCCCCGCCCGCCGTTCCGGGACGCAGCGACGCAGAGAACGCGGCGGAGAAACGCGGCGATTCGTGAGTGTCCACGATTGCGCGCGCGCACGATCGTACATATCCCTTTTTTGCCACGGGAAGACGTTCGCTACCAGTAGTGGTAACGCTGCGAGTATACCGTTCCAAAAATGCGCTCTGGTATAAAAGCTCTCGGCGAGCCCGTGGGAACATGTGACGTCATAGATTTTGTCGTCACTTCCTGCTCTCGCCCGTTGCGGCCGGCGTGGCAAGGCATTCGCAGCGAAAAGATGGCGGCGCTTGAGGAAGATACGTTGGAGGAAATATGCTTAACGGACTGCTGAAGCGGAATATATGAACAATGGAATCGGAGACAATCGTTGACACCGAAAAGGGGAATGTTGTTGTCAATAAGTAAAGTGAAATAATCAATATCGCTAGTTGTCATTTTAGCAGCGGTGCTGCGAATTCGTCGTTCCGTTACGAGATGAAGAAAGCAATAGAAGCAATTACGCATCGTCTGCTGACGATTTATGACGGTTCATGACGTTACGTTGCCAATACCGGCAGTTGGATTATCGGAATGCACCATATATATGTCCATGTTTTCTTTAATAACTCGAAACATGGTAGTTGGAAAAATAATTTCGACCATGGTTTTCCACTCGACTTCTGTGGTACCCATTTTATGTGGACGCGTTACGTGAGATATTATTTCACCCTGTATATTATTATTTTTGAATATACTGAATACACTGTGGATATATGCAACATACTGAGGACATCCATACAACATTTTTCGTGGTATATCATATTTCGTATATTTACAATCGGTTTAACAGTCAGATCTTGCATCAGGGACCGTCTTGAGTTCATCCTCAGATGCTGTACGGTTAATTTCATTGGTTACGAAAAGATAGTTACTTTCATCCGGAGATGAACTTGACAATCTTGAATATTAAATCCGACGGACGTTCCACAATGCGTCGCAAACGCGTCCCGTCGCCAGTCGCGGAAGATGCAACAGTTCACTATTAGTTACTATGTACTCTATTAATTGTATAGTCACTACACGGTAATTATTAATTACAAAATGCTATATCAGATCGCAATGAGGTTTTTCGATCGGCAGTTACTGGTCTTCTCCGAGGAGTTGAAAGTTGAACAACTCTTTAGCAACCGCGACTGACTCCATTACGGCCGAAAAGGTATTTTGTAACTAGTAATTGTGCCATCGTTCGCGATTACAGACTGCCTTTTAAGGCTCAGATTTATACTTACACAGCGTAAGCGTTATTCCATGTTTATCGTACAATACACGTCGAAAGAAGACAGATCGAACGACGTTTGGCAGCGTTAACACGTGCTTACGTGTTCAAAATCGATTTAAGGTCGTTTTACATTAATTACTAATCGATTGCAACTCTCGTTGCAATAGCCAATCGGAAGCATCGATGTTGCTATTGGCGTTAAGAATTCGTCCCCTTGAACACGGAAACGCAGAAAGAGCAGCAATCGGCCAATCGGAACTCGCGCTGGTAAGTCACAATTTCCTCATTATCTACCGCTTACTATCGAGTGTGAATTCTGATTGGTCGCTACTTTTGTATCTATCTGTTTTCCCGTCCAGGACTATGAATTCTCTTTTAGACGCGCGTAGATGAGCGGGAAGACGTGGCGCTGTGAACGATGTGAATCGATCGTAACCTAACAGCGGTCAAGCTAATGGCGTTGACGTGTTCGTTAAAGTGGGGCGACGTGTTCGTTGAGGGGGTTCTTAGAACTTCTTTGGGACCGGTTACTGAAAGGAGGGAGAGAGGGGTGGGGGGACGTCTCCGCGGGTGGTGCGCAGCCATAATTAAGAAAAAGAAGAAGCTAAATATGGTTCTTAGACGTTAATTACAATATTCGAATTTTTTCGGATGTTGTTATTGACGAATTAGGTATTTTGTTTCTTATTATTCGAAAGAAATGTTATCGTGAATTACCGTGAGCCTTCTAAGAAATACAGTGAGGATTACTAAATGTAAGATATATCGATCCTAATAAGGAAGCTCCAACGGCCGACTTTACAGATTGTAATACTGTGCCCCTATTAATAATCTTTTAGGCGAAATCGAGGCCAGGCGTGTCAACAATTGTGACTGAAAACTGACAATAAACGGATTTTCTCGCTTCAACCGGCAATCTATTATTGGACTTGGTAAATGAAATGCATGTATGAATTGAACTGTGTTATCGATATATTTTATCAATTTTATTTATTTTTTTCATAAAGAAAATTATATATTTAAACTCTCCAATTTAAAAAAGTTAAAGATTTATTTTGAAAAAGAAAAAATTTCGGCATTACCCCAAAATATGAGAAAAATATTTCTTTGTATTTGTGTGCATGTTTCGTATATTCGAATAGAGAAAGGACGGAATTAAAAATGATGATTGAAAAACATTCTTTACCCATAAAGTTTGATGTCTGATAAATTATATACAACATGAATATCAATACTTTCAAATAAAGTGCACGGACAATTTTACAAGTGTACTGAATCGATCATAAATGTCATTTTGTGAGTATATTTTTTTATTTGAATATAAAACGCAAGAATTCTTGACACACGTTTTCTCGCTTGTGACGTCATTAAATAAGGACAGTTGCAGCGACTACTCAGGAGCCTTAAAATAAATTCTCTGTAGACTTTTATTCGCGGTACGGTCTGGCTAGTTTCAATGTGGTTTCTAATTAGCAAACAAAATAAAATTAGCAAACAAAATAAAGTAGTAAACTCACTCGCCATCGTTGGAAAATAACGGGACGTTGATCGATTATACTTCTGTCGCCTCTTTTTTTTTCTCATAGTTCAGGTTTAATTCGCTTGAAATCACTGAACGAGTTTGTATTCTTTTCCAGTAAACTTCAAAATTGCATTTTTACTTAAAAATTAATTGAAAACAATTTGTATGTAAAAGTCACGTGCGTGCGCGGTGAGGGTACACATTCATACGGAAAAATACGACACACGTGGCCTGTTTGAAAAAAAAAAAAAAAATTAAAAAGACAAGGGAGATAGACAACTAACTGTCTGTAATAATTTGAATAAGTCGTGATTCACTAGTGAATTTTGAATAGTCCTCGTGTGTGCGAGATGCCAATGTTATACTCCAATACGTTCCGACAGCGTGTTTGCCGCGCAACTGAATTCTGAAACTGAACTCAGTGAAAGTTAGGTCTTCATCGTTCCCTCTCTCTTGCTCCACATCACGTTGCCGAGTGTAGCTTCGGCAGCATTGTAAGAACAATGTGGAGGGGTTACGCATTCAATGGGAAGGAACTTATGAGCTGCGAGGAAACTAGTAGTTTGGTGGACCCTCGTGCGCATGCGGCCGAGCCAAAAGTACGTTATAAACATTGCCGGATTTATCATAAATATAGGTACCATTAATATCCTTGAGAGAGAGAAAGAGAGAGAGAGAGAGAGAGAGAGATGCAAAAATCCGTATTCTGTATTCACTCTTATCGATGAAATGGACCTAAGCTCGGTTTACGCTTACTGCTTGGATCAGGCCTTAGACCGGTTTTCACAGTCAGATTTTACATTTATGACCGTTTTTAAGTTTATCTTCAGACGCTCTACGTCGCTCATTTCATTGACTACGAAGTATCTGAAGACAAACTTAAGACAGTCTTAAATATAAAATTCGACTATGAATAGCGGTCTTAGAAACACTTTTGATTGATAAAAGCGAATTCAGAATATGGACTGAAGACTACAAAATTGGGTATATGGTAACTACTGAGGAAAAGAAAGTAATACAGATAATTTATATAAATAATAAGATTATTATTCTCATATATTTCCGACTTGATACATGAATATCGACATACGTTCATCACGTCATATTCACATTGTGAAGATGAGGGAAACTTTACTAGTATTAAAAAAAAAGGTTACGTTATATAAACTGTTATATAAAACAAAATATATAATTGTAATGAACAAATATAAATGTATATTTATATATATTAACCTAAGATAGTACTAATGGTATTAATATGTGTGTATATAATATTTGTGTGTATATAATATATGTGTGTATATAATATTTATAACATTGCATAGTCTGTGGAGTTTCTTTATTCTTGCAGAGCTAAAACAAACTAAACCGTAGATTAATATCCCCTTTCCCCCTACTTCGATAAAAGTGTTTGTAACATTTGCAATGTAATAATCACGGAAGAACGTGAAAAATTTGATATTTGGCTTCACGAGAACTCCACTGAGCATCATTGCACGAGTTAAGCACGAGTCTGTCACGGTTTGTGACGTATTGCAACGTGATTTGATGACGCATACGCATAAGGATTCGCTGGGCCTCTCACATTGCGTACATGACATACGTGGCTTCTCCTATTCTCTAGCTTCCGCTATTTTTCAATTTTCCACTACCAAAATCTATAGTGTATGTAGTGAATTATGGATTAACATGAACTATAGGATTTCCAGTGCTGGCAATGAATACAACTTTTGTGTGCGTATCCATGGACGTGGGCCAGGAGGCACGAGGATGTGCCCGTCCCAAGTTTTAGTTAGAAGAAACAATTGAATTGTAAAAATCATAAAAGTAAAGAAATGTCACTGATGTATTACGCAGTCTACATTCTACAAAAGAGCCACAGCGTATGTCCTGCAAGAAACTAATGACGGAGTATCATTTGCATCGATGCTTTATGAAAATGAATGTAACGAAAATTTCTTAATTTCATCGCTAAACGTTCCTTAGCCTAGTTGGGTATAACTAATATCATGCAGTCTGTCATATATGTTCTAAGGCGTTCAAAGAACGTTTTGTATGCGTGTATCAGGCTATACGGAATGAGATTGAGATTGGATTGAAATTTCACCAATTAGAATAAAGTTCACCAAACTCAAGTTTAGTGAATCTTGCTCCGATTGGCCAAATTTTAATTCAATCCTAATCCGTAGTCCGATATGTTTATGGCCGGTATTCATAGTGAAATCTTATATTTAAGACCGTCTTAGGTTTATTTTCAAATGCTCTATGGTTCATTTCATTGGCTACAAAGTATCTGTGGATAAATCCAAGACGGTCTTATATATAAGATTTAACTGTGAATATCAGTCTATGACTCTTGCAGATCTGCGAACGGGATTCTGTAATAGTCTACCGACAATTATCGAATCGACGCGTGTCGTTGCGTGTCATTGCGTGTTATTGCCGTTTGTTATAGATTGCGTTCGGGAATTCCCACCGTGTGCACACCGCTGGTACGCTGGTCGCCCGGAAATACTCAGTGTGGTTCAATGTGCATTCATGTGCATCGTTCGGAAATTCTCCGAGTGAGGCACACCGTATATCACCCAACCGCTCGACGACGAAAAAAAACAAAGAAAATCGGTGTGAGTCGGCGGGTTACTATCTAGTTACTTCCTCTCTTATTCTACCTTTTATTACTTTCCCACTAAAATCACGAAAACACGCCACGAGTGGGATTCCCTCAACGCAACTTCGTCCGATATGAGACTCTCTCGTAGATCTATTCGCGAAATTTTGTAACCGTCTACTGTCCGACAACTATCGAATCGGCACGTGTCGTTGCGCAACCTTTTGCCATATGTTATACCCGAACAACGACATATTCCCTAGCCGACAATTGGGGGACAACTAGTTACACATTCCCGCTATCGGGGCTTAATTCTTTAATCGTATACGAAACTAATCTCACGAACTCAAGAATCTCTGAGATGTATCAGTTCGTAACTATTCGTACACGTAATTTCGTGAATGATGTCTCACGAATGTACTGCTTTTACGGAAAAGTACGTTCATTGGATATCACACGCAAGTTGCGCACATAAATTTACGGCCACTTCTGCCCAGCAGGACGCGGCAACGTTTGCCGCACGGCAAGGTGCGACGCGGTAGCCAATAAACTTTCAGTTCTTGTGGAAAAATGGGGAACGTTGAATGTTACCGCGTCGCTTTTTGCCGCGCGGCCCGCATTTTGTGGGCAGGAGCCATTAAAGTTCTCGCAGCCGGCGCGACATTCAATGAGCGTATTATCATACGAAAATTTACGCAGAATCGAAAGTCTTTATTGTTACCTCGTCGGTACGTTAATCCTAGTCTACGACAGACGCTTTAAGCTTTAAGCGGGAAGCACCCACTTCGGCATAGCGCATAACGCATGGCGCATAAGAAGGCGAGCCAATCAGGATCCTTCGTTTTCCATCGTAAGGATAGAAACATAGGACTCCGATTGGTCATTTTATGGGTCATGTTAATGCGTGCATAATTACATTATGTCGAAGTATGTGCCTTCCGCTCAAAGTGTTAAAAGAAATCGACCAATCACAATCGAATTATAGAAGAATAATCAATTGTGATCGGTCAATTTCTTCAAGCTTAAAGCTCAAATTCTCATAGTAGACCCCGCTTTCGCTGTCATCAGCCTTTATTGACCTCCGACTTGCGTTTACGACTCCGGCTGTGTTCCAATATTCACTGACAGCGGTGAAAATCTATAGTATACACACAACATGAACTATAGATTTTCTCGGTCGGAAACAGTTCTGACGATTTTTCTACGGAGGTCCTATCTTTCTTTCATTCGACTCGGACACAGAAACTGACCTCGGTTACGTGAAGGCACGAATCCAAAGCCACGTGCTGTGCGCATATGCGGTGCGAACTTCGGGCGCTTTCGACCGTTAGAAGGAAACAGACATATACCACGTCACGACTATCTATTTATCTTCTACTCTCTTCCGGGCGAGTTCGCCGCGATACAGCGTTCGCCCTGAGCTCGTCACGGATAGTAGATGACGTAGGTGTATGTCTATCTCCCTCTAACGGCCGAAAGCGCCCGAAGTTCGGAGCGTACGCGGCTTTGTGCGCGCCAAACCCTCGCGTATTGTGCCGGTTATCGGCCTTGAACACACTTTCGGTGCTAGCATTCTCCTTCCACGTCTACATGTTTTAATACCTTCTGCATACAGTTCGCGGAAATACTTGCCGCGCGACAAGAAACCGACGCGGCGGGTCGATAAACTTTCAGGTTTCGTGGAAAAACGGCACGTTGATTGGCTACCGCGTCGCTTCTTGCGCTCCGCGCGGCAGCGTTGTACTGTAGGCCTGCGTCCTCGTTTATGATTGTCTCTTGACTGATCGGAAGAAGAGATGCTGACAATTTATGATTGGTTAAGAGTGGCAAAACACAATCGACAGTCGTTAGTATGATATGGGTATGAATATCAATCAATATAGACAAACATATCCTTGGAAATCCTCTATTTACCCCGAAGGCACATTCCTCAAAATTACCACGTATAACAATAATTTGATATATATATATATATATATAAACTTGACTCGGAGAGCTTATTGATATCGTTTATCAACATACTTCTCGAAGAACATGTCCCTGAAAGCTACAGACGAACCGAAATGCGAGTCAGGTAATAAAGTAATGTCTGAAAAATCACACAATACTTACGGAATAATCTTTTAATATTTGTTTAACATTATTCATGAAAGGGGAGTTGGTCGAGAGTTCCAAGAGTTTTGGAAATACGATGATAAATCCCAGCGAGGAATTTCTGGAAATTTTCACATCGTCATACGTGTTCAGTAGAACGCCGAGTGAACTCAACAAAAAACAAATTAGAACAATGGAGACGAAGATAAGTAAATTGTTTCATAAAGCAATCAACTTGGGAACTACCAAGTTCGATGATATTGTAACTCTTGCACACACTTATCTGAATATAAGTCGTGTATACGTTTCGTCAGATGGGAAGGAAAAACTATATATTGCCAGAGACAGTGTTCTAAATTGTTTGAGCCTGTTAAAAGATAAAGAGCTCGATCGCAAATCTATTCTGCTAGCTTTAAACGCATACAGCTTATTAGGCTCTATTTATAATAAACAAAAGAAGATAGAGAAAGCTATATTAATACATGATAAAGCTGTGGAATTATGTTTGACATTTATACGAGAAAATTACAGTAATCCTGCTGATCTTAAAGACTTTGTTAATATGTCACCTACAAAGTTACCTCATGAGCTGCAAAATACATATATATTTATTTTGCAGTCGTTGATAGATTTACATGCGTGTATGGGGCCAAAAAATAATCACTATCTAATAACATGCAGTCACATGCTTTTGGTTGCTGAATTTGACACACTATCGGAATCTGAGAAAGCTCTTAGCTGGATTCGAACGGCAATAACGTTATGCAATTATTTTCTAATGTACAACCGTTTCCGCGAGGCTAGAAATCATCTTAGTGCTGCAGTTTTTGTAAAGAAAGTTTTTATCGATAAAGCGTGCAAAAATGTCATAAGACTTTCCTCCGAAGCGTACGATTTGAATGAACAGAACAGCATCGCATTTACATTAATTGCTACGTTTAGGGCGAAGTACGGAATCACGCTTTTGCGCAGATCGGCTGAACGATTGCTACGGTTAGAAAAAGACGAAGACTCTGCGACTGACAGTGTAAAATCAGAATTTGCGAGAAATTCTAAGAAACAGGTGTCGCAGAAATTATTATTATTCCCCAAAGTAGAAGAGGAACAGTCAGATTCAAATATGTACCTACCGATCACGGCTGAATACATCTCAAGTTATTCTGATGCCAAAGAAATATTTGCAATGGTTCTGAAATTGCTCCATGATAGACGTTTGTATTTTAGTGCCGACAAAGATATGAAAACGTATATGACAGTTATACACGACATCTGTAACGCGTACAAATATATGGCATTTTATGAACAGGATGCGTACGGCCGAATCACATTACAAAATCGGCGAATAGAAATTTTATCGAATGCTGTAAGAAACGTACGCAGGACTGATCGTAACATGTTGAAACATCTACGGCTTCAACTGGCAATTGTTTATTCAACTCTGGTAGATATAAATATTGAAAATATCCCATTTAAAGCTGCCCCATTATATATGCGACGAAGATATGATACAATTAATGCCAATATTGACGAACTATTAGCGAAAGGCTTGATGAATTTACAAAAGTACATGCAATGTGAATAGTCCTGATAGATAAGTGCGAGTTTGATAGCAAGTTCCTCATTAACAAAAATATGCTTAATTTATATTCTCCGCAGTAAAAAATAAGAGAGAAACGAGATCATCAATGTTTATAAGAGTACATTCGAAAGAAACTTGTGCGAGGAAATTGAATATATTATACTATGCTTATATTTGTGTGTATATTGAATATTGAATAGATTAATATTGCGTAACGAATTTATTGTTTTTGTAAGAAAATATAGTTGGTAATTATTTAGATGATACGAAATGTCCTAAAATCACCTTGGATATGCTTAGGAAGCCCTTTAGGAAGTGCTTAGCAGTATTCTGCAGAAACTTCAAACATCTTCCAGATGACTTTGGTATTTATCTTTTGCTACTTAGGTATTTGTTTCATCCCGAAGACAAGAAAATGCTTAAACAGAGTGGCTATAACTGAGTAGAATGGCCCTGTGTGTGAAAAGTGCGTTTTACACGAATAAAACAGTATGATATGTAATGTAAAATTCAAAGATTTAATTTATGTGTTTCTCTAACAAATTGATTAAAATACGTGTCATCAAATATTTTTTACACACACGGGCTGCGGAATACTTTGCTTCAAAATTGTTTAAGTTATTACATCGAATAATTTACTCTAAGAATAATTCATTCCAATTCGAAACTTATTTATACCAAATTTGCTGTAAGATAAATAATTAGAAAATGTTCTCTTGTAATTCGTGATAAAAAGCTTATACGAATTTAATATATAATTTCAACGTGTATAATCTGTTATGCTTCTATTAGTTAAAACCATATTACAGAAACTTATATTTTATTATAATAGGAATTTGTCACATCAATATATGCAGTAAAGTTCATTTAATATTTCTACCTACCACTTCATTTTCTTTTCCTACCACTTGGTTTTGTTTTTATAGCTAATATATAAATGAACTTGTGAAAGAGTGTGCACTTCAACAATTCGAATTATTTGTTTTAATCGTCAAGAAACAAGATATTGCGAATAAATAAAAAAGAAAAAGAACGATACAATACATTAAAATTATACATGTGTGTAGATGGAATAAAATACTTAATATAATAATATTTTACTGGTATCTTTTTTTGTTTTGTCTTCACTATTATTTTTTTCTTATTCCTGTGTATTTATTTGTTTTATTTTCTTCTCTCTCTCCTTGTCCATCGCACGTATATATAGTTCTATTTTTTATCTTTAACTAAAATTATATTTCAATTTATGCTGGCTTAATATATCGATAATGCGTTGTTTTTCATACGAGTCATTCGATTTTTTGTTTTAAGTAGGTTGGTTATTTAAAAATTCTTCCTTGGTATTTTCAGTTTGTCTGTTTCCTTTATATTCAAACCCGATCCGCCTCAATAGTAAGTCGGGCGATCTTCTATTTTCAAATAACCAAACGAATATTCAGTGTATGTTCTGCACATCTTGTCGTGTAAACACAGACTAGAGTTGTAAATAGACTGGTTTTGGCGACTGGTTTTGCGATGTAAAGCTTGAATGTAATTGGATATAAAACTAACCGATAGGGCAACGTATTCGTGGAAATCGCCTATTTAATTCTAACGTGGCACACATGTGGCTCAAAGTGGCGACACATGTTGTACGTATAATAAATAATTTCATAACTTGATAGTAACAGAGAACTTTTTTTAAATCAATATCGACCGTTATAAGATATTTCTCGAAGAGGATGTCCATCAAAGCTATAGGCGAGCCAGGATGCAGTTCAGGTAGTAGAAAAATAATAAGTTCGAGAGATCGCGCAACATATGCGGCATAACCTTTCATTATATTATTTTGTTCAGAATCAGTTATGGAAAAGGAGAAAAAGAGAGATTTCGAAAACATGACGATAAGCCCCAGCCCGGAAATTTTAAAAACTTGCACAGTGTCATACACATTTACCGGTAAGGCAATAAATTTTGACAAGAGGCTGCTAAAAAAATTGGAAACGCAGATTAAATCGTTTCATAAAACAATCAGTTCAGAAAATACGAAATTAGATGACATCGTGACTCTCGCACAAACGCATTACAACATATGCGAAGCATACTTTATTATTATGTTGAATGAGAAAGACAAACAATTGAATGCTATAGAGAATATTAAATATTGTCTGAGACTGTTGAAAGATAAAGAGCTGAATTGCAAATCTATTTTGATAGCTTTAAACGGGCATAACCTTTTAGGTTCTATTTATACTAGACAAAAGAATGCAGAGAAAGCTATATCAATATATGACAAAGCTGTTGATTTATATTCAGCGTATATGCAAGAAAAAAACGAGTATGGCACTCCTATTGATCTTCAAAACATTATTTATGAAAAAACCGCAAGGCTAAACGGTTATCAGAAGCTGACAGATGTATATATTATTATTTTACAGTCCTTAACAACCCAACATAAGCTCATGGGATCGTCGAATGAATGTAGCTTTATTATGCGCAGTCATATGCTTTTGCTCACTCAGTTCCATCAGTTGACAAAGAATAAACTGTATTTCAACTGGATTCATTCAGCGACATTGATATGCAAATTTTTGCTAAGGCACTGCCGCTTCAAGGAAGCCTTAAGTCATCTTAATGTTGCAAGTTTTGTGAAAAGGACTCACCTTCATATAGATTATACAGAGCAGCCAAGCAAACAAGGATCATCCAAAGAAGAGTCTTCTTCGAGCGATCTTCTTGAGCAAAGCAAGAAGGCGCGGAGAATACTTGTATTAGAGTGGGCCAATTATGGAATTACGCTCTTACGTAGATCGGCCGAACGATTGCTACGGTTACAGAAAGACGAAAATGTAGAAATGAATAAATCAGAATCCTCAAGGAAGTCGAAGAAACAGCCGCAGAAATTACTATTATTTACCGAAATAGAGAAAGAATATTCGATCCTAAATACATACCATTCAATAACGGATAAGTACATCTCGGATTACGACGGCGCTAGAGAAACGTTTTTGCTTGTTCTGAGAATGCTCAACGATATACAGGATGAACAGGAGACCGAGGACATTTCTATATTAGCTAAACTAAAAATATGTAAGGTGTACAAGTACATGTCACTCTATGAACAGAATACAATGAGCCAAATCGTGTTGCAAAATCGACAAATACACGTTCTACCGCTTCTCATGCAAGTACCGAAGGCACAACGTATCTTATCTAGATACATACGGCTTCAATTTGCACTTACTCATTCAAGTCTGGTAGAAACACATATTGGAATGTTGGAAATGGTCGATCCAACGTATGCGCCTCGAAGATGTACTGCTGTTAATGAGGAAATTGACTTTCACCTTGAAAAAGGCTTAAAGTATTTACAAAAGTATGTGCAAAATGAATAGCTCTGACAGATAAATGCAGAGTTGGGAAGTTACTCGTTCGTTTAACGTCGTTACTTTTTATCTTTTTTTTTTTTTTTCAATAACGATTTAGTAACGACATGCGTGATTATCTTCATTAGTAACAATAACGATAAGGCAATTATAAATTTTTCTGGGCGATGTAACAAACGTAATCGTTAGTTTGCGTACGTACAATACTAGTTTTAGAAAGTAACGCGTCACCTCTTATAATTGTTCATAGAATAATTTTATACTTTGATTTGAAAATTATTAATAATGTGCTAATAATGCTAAACAATGCAATACTGAAGAGTGATTTTTTAAAGAATCTGTATAGGAAATTGAGTATTTAAATTTCATTTTAATTCATTCTTTGTCTTTTAATTATTTTATATAAAAAAAAAGAAGAAGAAAATGTAAAAATATAAATTTAAGTAAAGTAGCATATAAAATAAATTAGTATTTTGTAAAATATTTTCTGGTTTATTCCTCGTTATTTTCTTTGAGATTTTATTTACGTATTTGTTCTACTAACTTCCCTTTCTCTTTCTGTTTGTACATGTTTCTGTTTCTGTTCTGTTTGTACATGTTTCTATTTCTGTTCTGTTTGTACATATTCTGGTTGTACATTATTCGGCTTTTCACTTGTAATTGAAATTTGATTTGGTCTATTTCATTTTATACTAACTTCATTTGTTGATAATACTGCCGTATGGTTTTTCAATTAAGTTTTCCGACTTCTTCGTTTTAATTAGTTTAGCCGACCGTTTTTATCTTGTGTATTTTATTATTTATTTTCAATAAATTTCTTTTGTGATTTTGTGATCGAATCAATCGTAGATCGTGCAACTTTCTATTGGCAAACAGCCAAGCGAATATTTAGTGCATTTTTTATGTATCTTGCTTAACACGTTGAGTGCCACGCGCATTTCGGAGGAAATCTCGTTCAGGCCAAAAAATTAAAATTTTTTGATAAGAAATATTTAAGTATATTAATTATACGATCCTGAAATTACTTATTAAACTATGTAATTTTTTTAGTTTTATATCGTACTTTATACTGTCAGTCACCGGTGACTGACGTGGCATTCAACGTGTTAAATAACGCAAAACGATTCTTTTATATATATATATATATATATATATATATATATATACGGTAAATAAACTATTATATATATGTATATATATATATATATATACGGTAAATAAACTAAACTCAGGAAAGACTGCGTTTTTATTTTGTATAAAAAAGTACAAAATCATTTATATATATATACATAATAATACATAATTAAGATATCTACAAAGATGCTTATAAATTTGAAACTATTTGCCACGTGGCAAATCCGTTATTCTGGTCGTGACATCCCTTGCTTTTGCGAGACGATCAAGTTTCGAGAAGTATGTTGTTTTTATATATTTTCATTATTGTGTTTATTACTATAATTTATAATAAGCATAACCGTGCACTCTCAGGATGATTTCGTTTTCTTCTTTTCCTCTTTATTACAAACATATGTGACAACAAAAGCATCGCAAAATATAACATATTTCTAGTCACTTAGAAATATTTATTTTACCATGATGTAAAGAGAATAAGTCTCCCTCCCCCCTCCCGACAGCACGGTATATTTATTAAAATTATAATGGAAACCCAAAAGAAAAGAAATGTTCTGTACGCGGCCACGGATTCTGTTTCTTGACAGCTTGAGCTTTGTTTACAAGACAACGTCAATTATAGAGTTAAGGAATCATAGAAGGAATCGTCGATAGAGCCGGCGCCGTCGGAGTTGCTCTCGGCAGCGTCCACGAATGCCGTCGAGAGATCGCCGGCCAGTTTGCTGACGGATCGGGAGGTCACGTCGTACATGAAGATCTCCTTGTCACCCTGACCGTCGTTTCTTGGCCTGAAACAGCACGTTGAGTGAATTCAAGTGAAAGCGTGGAACATCGCGAATTCCTCGCCTTCAACTTTCGAGTGGATTCACGAGTGGCAGACGAGGCCACCGATGATAATACGAGAGGATCGCGCACAGGGAAGGCACTATAACAAGTGACGCGATACGTAGAGGACATGAGCAGAAAAGTCTCCAAATTGCAGTATTACTTAACCTAGATAATGAAATATCACGATCTAATTTTTCTCAAAATCTACGAGATGTACGAGGAATTGATTAAAATCCCCCGTAATCTAGTTAGTTTGTTGTTAGAAGGACCCGTGACACGCGAGACGCGCGGGGAAAGCAGAAGACAAGTTTAAATATCCGCACAACTTAACACGGAGGAATTTCGTGCGCCGCGCAGCATCGAAGAAGCGATGGAAGAAGGCAGGCTCTTTCCTCGGATGCGAAGAAACGCAAAGACGCAAGTCGATTCTCCTAGAAAGTCGCGTTAGAAAATCAGCAATGATTGTGCAATAGTCGCCGCCGGCAGCAATAAAAGCGGTAAAAAGTTCTTGCAGGACCGGTTCGGCCGAGAGAGAGAGAGAGAGACAAGACTCCGAATGTCCGGGCGTTAAATGGAAACGAGGAGTTACGCAGGAGGAGGAGAGGCTGGTTACGCTCTCGGTAATCAAGAGCGCACTCACATGGTCACCAGGAGCACGACCGACTGCCGCTCCGGTTCGGTGCGGCTCTCCTGCTCGAGCCATTTCTTGTAGTTCTCCTCGGTGGGCCTCTTCACGAGCTGCTTGAGGGTGTCGCCGGCGAGGAACCTGACCGGCTGCGCGTCGCCGGCCTTCCTGCCCTGCCGCTCGATCTCCTCCCCCTCCTCGGGAAAGTCGTAGTCGACCGGCGCCAGCACCACGACGCTCGAGATCCTACGGCCGTTGAGCTCCGGCACGTCCGGGATCGGGAAGGACGCGCCGCTCACTTTGAGCGGCAAGTAACGATTGTATTGAGCGATGTCGCGCTCTCCCACGGACACCGGCTCGAGCTGGGTCGCGTCGTCCCGTATGTGCTGCTCCGCCACCGCCTGCCCCTGCTCCGTATTCGGATCAAAGCGTACTACTTTCATCTCCACACCGCCGGGCCGCAGAGTCGCTTGCTCGAACTTGGTGCTAGCAGTGGTGCCGGCGGTGGTCGCCTTCTTCGCCGTGACGTTCCGCTGACTCGTCTCCGTCGTCGGCCCCCTGACGATCGCCGGCACGGGCTCGCTGCCGGCGGCAACGGCGGCCCCGCCCCCGGCGCCGTAGAAATTCGCCAGGGCCTCCGGCGGTAGTTTCTCGATCGGTATGTCGCCGATCTTGTCGTAATCGAGGATCTGGATGTCGGCGTTACCCAAAATTCCGGAGCTCAGCAGTTGCTCCCTGATGTCGTCCGGCACTTCGTCCGGCAGGTTGGCGATGTTCTCCTTGATCTTGGCCTCCTTCTTCGGGGAGAGCGTCGTGGTGGTCGGCGCCTCGGTAGTGCTGGTTGTAGTACTGGTTGTCGTCGTCGTCGTCGTAGTCGGCAGGAAGCTCCTCACGGTCGATGGTGAGTCGAAGTTCTCGGACGGGCTCACCGGGGTCGCGTAAATCTTCTGTCCGGGATTGTTCTGCGGCCGGCCGCCCCATATCGATGGCTGCTGAAGCGGAGCCGCGTGCGGCCGTTGTTGCGGCAGGTTCTGCGAGAGATAACTCGGCTGAGCTTGATAAGACTGCTGCTGATGCAAAGTATCACCGGGAACGAAATGACTCGGCGGTGTCCTGGGGAGTTGTTGGGAATCGTGAAGAGCGTTGGGCGGTTGCGCGGAGACGTACTGGCTCTGGGAGATTTCGGGGTACACGGTTGGCTGCACCACGGCGGGATTCGGCGGGAAAGGACCGGGATGAAGAGGATTCTCCCTGATCGCGTAATGCTGCTCCAGCTTCGGGACCGCCTTGAAGATCTCACCGTCCGGGTGTTGCGGCGGCAACTGCGGCTGATTGTACTTGAGTTGCGCGCGATATCGCTGTTCCTGAAGAAGCTTCTGCTCTTGTTCCTGCTTCCGTCTGCGTTGCTCCTGCAGACGCTGCTGTTCCTGCAGTCGCTGCTGTTCCTGCAGACGCTGCTGTTCCTGCAACCGTTGTTGCTCCTGCAGCCGTTGCTGTTCTTGCAAACGTTGCTGCTCTTGGAGTCTCTGGTGTTCCTGCTGCCTCTGCTGCTCGACCAATCTCTGTTGCTCGATCTGCCTCTGCTGCTCCAACAATCGTTGGTGTTCCTGAAGCCGCTGGTGTTCCCGTTGCTTCAGCAGCTCCTGCTGCCTTCGTTGCTCGTGGTAACGCTGCTTCTCCTGTTCCTGTTGCTTGAACGGTGGCAGTGACTGCGGCGGCGGTAGTTCCGCGTTGAAGTTGCTCGGTCTGATGGACAACGGTTGCTGGGGCGGTTCCGGGTTGAAGTTGCTCGGTCTGATGGACAACGGTTGCTGGGGCGGTTCCGCGTTGAAGTTGCTCGGTCTGACGGACAACGGTTGCTGGGGCGGTTCCGGATTGAAGTTGCTCGGTCTGACGGACAACGGTTGCTGGGACGGTTCCGGGTTGAAGTTGCTCGGTCTGACGGACAACGGTTGCTGGGGCGGTTCCGGGTTGAAGTTGCTCGGCCTGACGGACAACGGTTGCTGGGGCGGTTCCGCCCCGTTAAAACTGGCCTGCGGCAACGGCTGATTCTGCAGGTGCACACTCTGATGCGACACCGACAGGGTGGGCGGGAATCCCGGTTGTTGAGGGTGATTGATGCTGACGCGATGCGGCGGGCCGAAGTTGTTGAACGGGGCGCGTTGCTGCACCTCCGGTAGACCCTGGATCGTTATCGGATGCCGCTGCGGCGGTCTCGGCGGCGGCGTGTTTCTCAGTAACGCTTGCTGAGAGGGGAATCCCTGTTGATGCTGCTGCAGTTGTTGCTGCAGCTGCTGCTGCTGATGCAGGAAATTCGGCGGTGGTTGCTGCAGCGCCTGCTGCGGAGCGAACACGGAGTTAACGACGCGCTGTTGCGGAAAGGCGGGCGGCACCCGCGCGGGATGCACCGGCTGCAGCGGCTGGTACGGGCCGTGCTGTCTCTTCGGCGCCCCCGGCGAGGCGGCCGGCTTGCCGCGCTGCACGACCGGCGCCTCGTGGTCGCTGCGTTTGCTGTGACTGTTCGGCGGCACTTGATCGGTGCCGAAGGTGACGCGTATGCCGCTGCTGCCGGAGTGATACACCTCGCTGTCGGGTCTGATGATGGCGCGCAGAGTCGTCGAGGGTTCCGGCGCCGGCGTCGCCGTGTACGTCGGTTCTTCCGGCCGGGAGTCCTCCGGCTTGACCACCTCGTGATCCTCCACCGGAGTTAACGCCGGAACCGGCGGGTCGTATACGACCCGACTCTTCTCGCCGTATCCCTTCTTCTTCTCGTACTTCACGTAGAACACCTGGATCGGCTCCTTGGTCGGCCGTGCCGGAAGCGTCGGCGGCACCGGAGTCGGCAGGGACTCGTTGGATTCTTTGATGATGATCTCGATGATCGGCTCAGGCTCCGTCGGGTAGTAGCTCAGCGGGCTCTCTTCGTAGAGATCGTCGCTCTTCGAGCTCGCCAGCGGGTTGTACAGGGGATCCCGCTGGGAGTACTGTACTATCGGCTCCATCTGCACCGCGTACGGCGGCAGGCGGCCGCCCTTTCGCAGGTGGAAGGCGAGCTGCTGCCGCTTGTCGCGACTCTTCGACGACGAGCTCTCCTCTTTGGCGATGGTCGCGGCGACGAGGAGGAGCGCCGCCGCCGGAAGCGTCTGGAAAGGGAAGACGAATCGCGGCGAATTGGCGGTTGGCACTGCTTTGTTCCCCTTTTTTTTTTATATCACGGCAGCGACGTCAACTCGACTGTATTGATATAACGACAGGGCTGTAATTTGCGTTTCTGCATAAATGATTCAAAATCCGACGGGCTTTGTGCCCGTAATTTCAACCTCCGCGCGGAATAACGCGCGCGTTCGTATCGCTCGACGCGGCCCGCTCGATCGTCGACGTCACCGTCGTTCCAATATCATTAGCCTAGTACCCGAAATGCAAATTCACGTAAGAAGGGGGACCCCAACACGCTCTGATAACCGAGTAACCTGTTTAATAACCAGAAAACGCATCCGAGACCTTAACGGGCCGATCAATTGGTATGCTAGCGAGAATCGAGGAACGGTTAGCCTGATAAGCGATTCTCAGTTGCGATCGCGCTCTCGATATGGAGAGGCCGGCTTGCCGACGTACGACGGGGACGTTTCTCGAACTGAAATCGTCCGATTTCCAAACCTCAACCGGGAGATCGCGGGCTTTTCCTTACGTTCTACCGACCGTAATTCCCGAAACATAACGTAATTCTGATACATTAAACAACGCACCGACTGCCCTTTTTTCCCGACGCAAAACTAATAAAACAAAATTGATTGGATATAATCGAGTTGAGAGAAATTAATTTGACTCCAATTAACTCAGCCACGTCACTTTTTTATTCTAATATATAGATGATTTTCTAAAAATAAAAAAAAAATATATATATATATGTGCTGACTTTTGAACATTGACTGCATTTTCATAATCAAAATGGCAAAATATTCCGGCAGACCGACAGCCGTCGCGATTACATACGCAAATACATACGAATATGCGCGAAGGAAGGATACATCGCACGATAGAGAGCACGCTTCGGCGCGTCCGATTAAGTTTTCTTTTCGGCCGAAAAAGTGGGTGAATGCGGTAGAAAGAGAGAATCCAAGATTTGAGCCGGGCGTCGCGTTTCACCTCGAGAATTCGGTGACTCTCTCGACTCCGCTGGTTAGCATATCCGAATGAGGCGGCCGCCGAGCGGCTCTCTTCCACGGCGTAACGCCTCGAGGCGGTGTGCCAAATGGCGAAAAAAAAAAAGCAGAAAAAAGAGGAAGACTCCCTCACAAGGAGGCCATTAAACCGGCCGTCAATCTCCGCGGCGATTATCGGCGAGTATCGTTGCCGGTCGCGTCCGCCGTTTATTACTGCACTTTCCCCGCGCGAACGCGAGCGCGATACGCTCGCTGATTGCGAATGATAGAACCTCGCGCGCGACACGCTCGTTACGACGAAAGTACAAGCGTTTTCATCCGCGAACGGTCGCCCTCGCGTACAAAACCCGTTATAATTACCAGTTTGGCGAACTGCATGGTCGTCGCTCTTTCGGATCTTCCTCGTGCCTATCTGGAAGAGAGGAGAGAGAAAAAGAAAGAGAGAGAGAGAGAGAGTCACGCGCGTCTACACACACACACACACACTCACGCGCGCCACACGCGCTTCACCTCGGCCTCCGCGAGTGTCTCAGTTCAGAGGCGGCTGATCCGCGACATGACACCTCGCTCGAGAGGGATCGGTCTCGTGCCTCTTGGACGATACCGAGCGGAGACTCGCATCGGAACTGAGGACAGATCGGGGCCCCAGGGGCCCCCGTTTCTCCCTACTCGATGCCACCACCACCGGCCGTCGTCGTCGTCGTCGTCAAGAAGCTCCTCTCTAATATCGAAGACGGTGGAGCACCTTTCTCCGGGCCCTCGATGCGCGCCGCCGGCGGGGTCTACGTGTCCGCAGCGTGCAGCACACGTGGACGCGTGTCTGGCTGGAAAAGACGGAAGAGAGAGAGAGAGAGAGAGAAAAAGAAGAAGAAGAACAAAGGGAAGATGCCGTCGCGCGTAGACGCGACGACGACTTTCTTCGAAGGCGCGCGCGCGGAGGGGACGATCTTACCGTACGACGTCACTTTTCCGCGACCTCCAAGGCCCATCGAAACCGAAACCCTCCTCCTTCCCTCCTTTCCTCGAGGTCGCGCGTCGAACTCTATTCGGTGAAAGAGCCGGTGGGTCTTAATGCCACCAACCGTCGAGATATTACTTTCGCTGGCCGCCGCTAAACTCGGCACTTCCTCGACCGGTGATCGTTTCCGATTTGTTCAATGATCCCAGCCCGAAAGAAAGAACCACCGGTTCGGTCATCGTTACGCGAATCACTCGCGATTATCGATGCTTTTAATTCAGAAGGTTCCCTTTAATTGGCCGACGGCTCGGTTTCCATAACGGGCGAGACAAGCAATTAAGACGGCCGCAATTATATCGTCATTAGCATTCTAGGCTTCGACTTTCCGCACGAGATTCTTTCGGAATAATAGCTGCGACCATATTCATGAACGCGCACCTCGTGAACCGCCACGAGAGAATTTTCTTAAAGGCGATACATGAATTTCGCCGTGAAGTGCAAGGCCATCGAGTGTTATCGATTTTCCCTCCCGCGCTACTATCGTCACACGATTGTGGCATTCGATTCTATCGTCCTACGTAAGATTACTTGCGCAAAAGCGCACCGTTTTAGAACCGTTCAGAAACTTATGTGCACGGACAAAATATATAGCGACGGATATCGATATATATATTGAACTTTGAACCTCGAATCTAGAACCTGTCGCTACGTACAATAACTTACATACTTCCAGATTATAGGACCATTCCGAACCGAAAAAAGAAGAAGTCCTTTCTCGCTTTGCAAATGACACGCAGATTTTCGAGCTGTTAATTAAAGAAGCTTCTACACATGGATATTTTCAATAATCGATTGAAAATTTGGCGTGTTGCTTTTGCAAAATGAACGGGGACTTTTCTCGTTCAATCCGCTCTACGCTATCGCAAAGTTTGTTCATACTGACATCCTGTATATGTATTTGAGTTTGAAGACATATTTCATATTATTTCAAGCACGCGTGCGCGTGAAATGTTGCAGAAAGATTTTTGATGTATGATCACCTGTTGCAAAAGATCTCGCACGAATAGCACAAGACGTTCCGGCCTATAAGCCGCATAAAAGTTCTTTTTTCTGCCGATGGCGAAGAGCGATGTCGAAGCCGGCGGGATCTGAGGTAACTCGCTCGTTCGCAAGGAATTACGGCGGATTGTGTACAAGTCATGTTTGCCGTTGCGAAAGGAATCGCCGAGATCTCCAGTGTAGCAGTCGAACGGAGATGACCTGGTAGAGCAGTCCTGTCGATTGCAAAAGTACTCCGCAAAAAGCGATGCAAAGTTCTCATGTTCGCACTTGCGTAATGCACCGTCGTTTCTAGATCGCGCGCGCGGTCTCGTCCAACCCGGTGATTCTCTATCGTCTTCCTGACCCTCTTACAGCGAGCCTTCGGTCGCTCGGAGAGGAAAAAAATCAGGACGAGCCGGGTTGCGCCAGAGGAGCGGGAGGACGAGAATCGTATAAATTTCGAAAGCCGCTGGAATCCGCGGCTACTGCTCGATCGAATCTGTGGGTTCTTTTTTTTTCTTCTTTATTATCTCGGATATTAATTAATCTCGGGGACGATGTCCAGCATTGGCGGCGATACTTTGGAGTATCTGGCGAACATCCAGGCGTCGTCGGCGAGATTCGTCGTCGCGCGTCCTACTTGCTAACTTTCACTTACGTTGGCGTAAGAGGATCCAAATAGCTGCCGGGAGGCTCGAAGATGATGAATACATGGATCCGTCCGGGACGGTCAGTGATCCAAGCGAGCCGAAGCGATATTTTACGCCGACGTATCGCTGCCCCGGCGAAGCCGGGGAACGATATCGTTCCTGAACCTACTCCATCCGTGCATAATTTCGCGTGCTACGACGATTTATCACTTTTCCGCGAGCCGTACACGGTATCTTCGCGCCGCATTTGTAACCCGTTTCGCCCCATTCCTGGCTTTTCGAGGTAGAGGCTGGCCACCACGAAGCTGACAAATGCATTGCGCCGCTCCGCGTCATCCGACTTTCTTTTCGTCTCCAAATTAATTTCACCATCCTCGCTGTCCCGTAATTCGGCAGCTAAATTGCAAACTTTATAAACTTCTCTTCCTTCCTCTCTCTCTCTCTTTCTCGGTTTGTATTCATGTATATTTATATGTCAAATATAACCGTTTAATTCCATATCGTTCGTAAAAGTCGTTCTCCCTTTTGTGCATTCACTTGTAACTCCATTCGTAATTAAGAGCAAATCCGACAGTCTTACGAGTTTTAGTTTTCCGCATCTGTCGACAATCTGCAAACGATATTCTATCGGCGCTCATAATACAGGACGTATCGCCGTGCAATAAGAAGAAAACATCTATACAGCAGCAGCAAACCTATCTTTCCCACAGAGGAGATACTTTCCAACTGGTTTGCTACAATACGACCACTTTCACGATTATCGCTGTCGTTGATTAAATTAATTTTTAACTCGCGATCAATACTTCTCGGGCTTCAGTAAGGATCTGACCGACAACTTTTAGTTCAATATTTACATTTCCCGCGACACGCGCGCATCCTGCTCGTGCACATATTGCACCTGCCGCGTCGTGCACGAAGAGCGTGGAAGCTTCCTCGGAAACAAAGGAAACCGAGTTTGTCGTGTCTCCACAATGATTGCAAGACCGATCTCCGTAATAATAACGATGGTGAGAGATTGCGCGAATTTGATTCCCCCCGATTCTCAGGAAAGTTACGGACGATACGATCCATCTCCTACGAGCGCGCGTTCAACCGCTAACTATATATATGTACATAGTGCTCGGAGAGTAGTCCGCGCTCATGAGCAATAACGTAACTGTTGAAGAGTGAAAGTGCTGTAAAGTAGGACGCCGCGGGAATAGTGTTCCCTCTTATAATTAATAAACAAAAGCACACAAGCGTTTCTCATCACAGCATCGCATTCAATGCGACATTTTTTACAAGACCTTGCCGAGCGGTTAATGATCGAGACCTTTCCCCCAATGCGTTCGCTTTTTTTCTTTTTTTTTTTTACGCGAGCCCCGATTGCCGTGGTATAGATAAACCTATCGTTTGAAACGTGCAGAATCTCCGGAATTCCGAGTTGCGTCGGAATATTTCGCAAGAAAACGATAAAAACGAACGGAACGCTTCCGAATGAAGTTCATTTTCAAATTAAACGCGTCGTTAAAATCGCTTCCGTGATTTCGAGTACAGCAGAGTATATATATTATCGGCTGTTTTTGCTCATTGAAAACTGTGCAATGTTGAATTATATATATGTATAAATAATTATATTCTACAAATATTAATTTTCTTTGGCAATTTTCCGCGTGATTTCGCTCGTTCTCATGTTCGACTGTCCGAACACGAAAGGTTTTCGTTTTCTTCTCCAATTCTAGTAGCACACAAAGGCGCGTACATCATACGTGAAGATCTGATAATTTCGTTCGTCGTGGAAAATTTTCACTCCCGTGTTTTTCAGCGTGAGAAAAATATTTCACAAGTAGCAGAGGGATGTTGCACACTATATGTATGCACGTTAATTAAATAGTCCGGGCTAATTAAAAGGGAATAAAGTCAACGGAAACTACGCTACGCGGTGTAACATATCTGTAATTTAAGATGACGTTTACGCGGAAAGAGAGCGTATTTGTGGGGAGTTTTTGAGCGTTTGTCAGCTTTTTTTAAATCGGCTTTGAAATATCGGCTTTTGTCGATCGAATCGTTTTTACGGCACTGCAACGGTATCTCCGAGTATTGACTATATAAGCGGAAAATACATAACTGCCGTTATATAATTACATACTGCAGGCTGTATCGGACGAAAAATTGCCTGTAATTGATGTTACGCTCACTGCACTTTCTATTTCAGGTGTAGCGAATTACAATTTGCCGTCGTACGCAAAACACTCGGCGTAGTCTTATCGGGAAATATCATTTTCTATTATCTCTTCGATTGATTAAGGACGTTAAGTCTGCGATTTTCTAAGCGCTTCGGTATTAATCATCAATTTAATGTATCGTGAAGAGTGCGAAGAATAATAAGCATTAACTTTCTCTTCAGCTAAAACCACTCGTGCTAGGCAGTAATGTATTTATACTAGTCGGTTGCTGCTAGCCTCAGCTTTTACAACTACTAAATTACGGATGATTGCTCGTTTTTCACTTAAAATTAAAGCATATACAGAAAAAAAAAAATATATATATATATATACACACATGTGTGTGTTGAAATATAAAGATAATATATAGGAGATTTGACAGAAGGTGAGCCAGCTGTCACATACTTGTAGTTTAGGTGAAGAAAAGTTTTGTATCATTTCGCAAACAACACGCAAAATATCGAGTTATTAATGATTGAAAATGGCCATGCATAGAGGTTTCTTTAATTATTAACGAAAAAATTAGTGTCTTATTTGCAAAATGATGCAGGACTTTTTTGTTCAAAATGACCTGATCTACAAGTACATGATAGCTGTTGTACCTAGCGACAGGTTCACGGTTCGAGGTTCAAAGTTCAATGTACCGACGTTTGTCGTTAAGTACAACAGCTGTCATATATTTGTAAATTCGGTACTTAGGTAAATTAGGTTACTCTGAACAAAAAGGTCCTTTACCACTTTGCAAATAACACGTAGATTTGTCAGTTATTAATTAAAGTAGCCTCTATACATAGCCACTTTCAATCATTGATAACTCGAAATTTTGAACGTTCTTTACAAAATGGTGAAAGACAAATGGTAGAATTTTTTTCCTTCACATTGACCTAAACTACAAGTATACATGTGACGGTACGGCACGTTTTGCGTCAGACACCCTGTATATATGCAGAATTCCTAGGAAAATCCCTGAATAATTTATATAAAAAGAACGATAATTAATATTTTACAAGTGATAATAATATCGCGAAAGATGTGTATGATATACTGAAAAATTTAAAAATGTGAGTAACAGAAGAAGAGAGTGCGATACCGTTGATTAACGCGCTCCAGCTTTACCGACTATCTCGTCACAACAATGGCCGCACCCGTAAAAACGTGCATCTGCGGAGCTTGTGCGAAAGCTCGCGTAACGATCCAGCAAGTGTTCAGTGTACTAGATATATACGGATGGTTGTTAGATTCGTATATTGTGGTACGTAATACGATAACAGTAGCTCCCGCATCGTATCATATTTCCACCTATCTCTCTCTCGAATAACAACGGTGTCTCTATTTCCAACCTGATCGCACATACACATATATATACAGACCATCACGAACACATGACGACCATTTCATTAGATATTTAAAAAAAACAGACCTTCTCGTACGACAAATCATCATGCTTGCTCGCATTCGCAGGATTTCTTTCAAGAGCAATTATGGGAAAAACTACCGAACAGCTGGAGACTCATCCTGCGAGAAGTATCGCCGAGAGAGTTTGGGGAATGGTTAAGTAGTGACATCTTGTGGTAAGTGTTAGTGCAACTCCACTTCGGTCGATAATGCGCGCGATATTTAAGAAGATACTTAAGGCTGGTATTCGCAAGCCTGTGTTCTGTACGCGCTTACGACGATATTAGCGCGCCGACAAGTTAAGAGATACGAGCATTCCTAGTATCGCTGATAATGCGTGTTTATAAGAAAATACCTTCGGAACTGTTCAAATGACTAATATGAATGACTAATAAGTGGCTTATTAGCGCGCTAACATCGTTATAAGCGCGTTCAGAACACGCCGTAGGTTGTCGGTTCGATTCACGTTTACACAGCGCTGCGAGCAGGGTCGTTCGAGCTTCATTGTTCGTTGCAATGTCAAGAAAAGATAGAATGACGTTTGTAACGCAGTAAGCGCGAATCAAACCGCAGTCACAGTCGGATCTTAAATCGCTTCGTTTTAATAAGCTATTATTTTACGTTACTCTAAAAATCACCGAAAATCGGCCCGGAGGCTGCATTTGAAAAGCTGCATCCGGTAGTTCTAGAATATTTTGCAAATTTTGCTCAACTTAATTCACTTCGCAGCAGGCGCGTGTGGCCGCTGTCGCTGCTCGCGCTCCGACAAGTTACGAGGAATTTACAACTCGACAGAGATCATAGAAATCGTGAGAATACCTTGCGATGCGGCCGAGCGAAGGATGTTGAATACAATTTGGATAACTTCGTCTCGGAAAGTAAAGATAAAGTGTCGCGGGATTTACACGACGACGCTTTGAAGAAACGCAACAATCTCTTCCTGAAACACGTTAAGATTAAGAAACGGCATGAGATACAAGAGATAGCGAGGGTACGGTTAACTTAATAAAATCATAAATTTAAATTAGATTTAATTTGAAAATAATAACTTTTAGATTACGTTTGAGGTATTTATGGATACTGTAAGAAATGAATTTTCCGCGTAGATATGCGCGAATTGTGCGCGCGAGTCGGATGCAAAATGCATCGTGGACGTTGGAGCGGGCATGGGTCATTTAGCCCGATCATTAGCATTCAAATATGATCTGTGCGTGACGTGCATCGAACAAAACGCGGCACTGTCGCAGCAGGCCAAGTAATTCAACGTCCTCTTCATAATTTCAGCAGTTATTCTCCTAAATCTCTCTATCACTGTCAGATTACTGGCAATATTATTATTATTCCTTTATATCACCCTCATCCCACCATTAACACGTTTGTTTTCTTTCAATAGAAAATGGGATCAGGAATTATTAGTATCTATAACGAAACATTTACCCGACTTGCTGGTTAAACTTCCGCAACACGTATCGGTTAAGTTGGAAAGTACAGACTTTGAGCAGGCTGAGACAGTCGAGAGCATACAGCGGATGTTCGCGGAGAATTTTCACTTGAATAAAACGAGGACTGAATTCGGCATTGTCGGCTTACATCCGTGCGGAGATCTCGCAGCCACGTTGCTGAGACTTTACACCTACCGACGTGAGGCGAGATTTATTTGCATTGTGGGATGCTGCTACATGAAGCTGACATTAGAGTATGCACAGTGAAACGCTGTATTCACGATGTTACTTTCTTGATATTGCGGTCACACGGTAAATAATGTTCTGATAATACGTATATCTAGAGATACGACGGACGTCACAAGTGGGTATCCGCTCAGTAAATACCTGTCGTCATTCGTAAATCACAAGTTGTCCTACGCGGCCTTAGAAGTTGCGTGCCACTCTATCGAGAGTTACTGTGACAAATTGAAGGCTGGAAATTACGACGATTTAATAGTTAAGTGTCATATGTTCAACTCGAACGAAATGTGAATTCATTATTACCAAATTAAGCTATTGTTTTAGGTGCACGCCTACAGAGCTGCTCTAGAAACTATTTTAATAAGACGAAGCAGGCAACTGCGTCACACTCAAGTGAGGAACGTCAAAGTGGTGAAACCTACAACGTTTCAACAGTTGAGTGATCTCAATAATCTTGATCGCAACCATCGAATTTTGTCGCAACGTTCCGGCGATAATCGAACGCGCGTGTTGTATCTTCCTCAGGTATTGCGCGGCCGCAACTGCGGATCTTGAGTTACATTTGCGACCCGACGACTCGGACTTTCAGAATCTGCAGGTGAAACGTTTCCTGGACCAGTGGCGGCAAATCGTGATATTCGGGGCGTTACGTACGATGCTGGCGCCACTGGTGGAGACCGCGGTGCTGCTGGACAGATTCCTATTTCTCTCGGAAAATAATTTACCTCCCATACTGAAGCCCATCTTTGACGCCAGATTGTCTCCTAGAAATTTTTTGTTGTTCTCGATCAAAAAGAGCGAACAGTTATTCTCTTAATCGTACCTTTGTATACCTTCGTATTTTTTACTACAATAAAAATATTCTGAAAACAAATCAAGGAATTTTTCCAGTTGAATCTTGATTCGTCGGGGGAATATTGACAGCCGTATTCCGAAGTGTTCTGAAAAACAACGCGAAATATCGCGGCAGAGTGACACGGATGTCAACTGTCTTCGTCACGGATCACGCAAATGTTTCCAAAATAATTAGTCAACAATCAAAATTCGCGAGTAAAATTCAATTCTATTTGATTTTTTTCTTTTCCCTCGACATTTTCATATCCGATTCATCACGATCGAAACTCGTATCGATGTATTTGGCACTTCGAGAATCGTAAGTGCTGCAATACATGCAGCCAGTCTCGGAGCGGATCGCGGACGCGGCGGTTTATATTGAAAATGCAGCTCCCTGTGTTTCTCGCGATTTCAACTCGCCGAACGTTTCGTGCTCGATTTATCATCGTCGGGAGTGCCGAAAGTAAGCGTAGCGTGTGGGTGTCGCGATAGAATCTCGTTAAATAGCTGTCGGGAATGAATAGCCGGCGCTAAAAGTGTCCATTGAAATAACGTACGTTCATCGTTTAATGGCGACGCGAATTCGAACCGTCGTCCTTTGCCTACCTGCGACTTGTCGAAAGAGTCTCGCAGGCATGTCATCGTCGCCGAAAGCGCCGAAAGTAAGTGCCGTGTCTCGTCGTGAAATATCGTTAATCGGCTGCCGGAGGGCGAACATCTTGCGAAACTGACCGTTGGGAGTGCTTGACGAAATAACGTACTTTCATACGCGTAATAGCGGCTTGAGTTGAAACCTGGCTATACCTTCGACCTGGCACTCACGCGCGGGTAATGTAACTTTTAGCGCATGCGTCGTAGGCTCGCGTTGCAAACCTTTGCACAGACAAAATGCATCACGAAACGGCTGCGCAACGATATGAATATACACCGATACACGGTAAGAAACGTTGATCTCCTAAAATAATCAGGCCGGTTCAAAATAACGCTTCGTTTTAAACGACACGCGAAAACATCAAATTACTAAATTGGCATAAATTTAACGCATGCAAACATTACGAAGATAATAACGTGTAAGCTGTACGTTAATTTGACGCTGAGATTTTAGTCAAAAGTCGGGAACGCAAGGAAACTTGAATATTTGGACAAAAGATTTCTCACCATGTGGCTGTGCTAGTTCAAGAAATTTACGTATGCATTGAAGCGTACGAAGCACACGTACGAGATTCTCACGCTTCGGTATGCGTAAATTTCTTGAGCTAGTGCAGCCAGTTCAGCCAAAAGGAACAGACCAATAGACTGCTCGAGTTGAAATAGTTGCCCTTTACTTACTTCAGACCCGTTGAAAGTCTCGCGTGCGAGCGTCGAAGCAAGTCTCGCGCACCTGGTGTGGTGAAATATCAATGAACAATCGCGGAAAATAGGAAAATATGACGTGCGCAGACGCCGGTCGTTCTACGTCGAACTGAATGAAATCGTCGTCAGACGCTCTCTCGGAGAAAGAAGAGCCGAATATCGATAAAGCGAACTTTAGCCGGTATTCATAGTCGGATCACATATTTAAGGCAGTCTTGAGTTCATCATTAGATGCTTCGTTAACCAATAAAATAAGCCGTACAGCATCTAAAGATGAACTTAAGACGGTGTTATGCAAGATGTCCGGCGCTAAATACACCAAACCGTACAAAACGTATGTAACAGATCAAACTGAGAAGTAAGGCCGATATCATTTTATAAAGTACTACGTGAAATTTTGAGCTATTAACGAAAATAGACGAATCAGCGCGCGAGTGGATGCAGTGGATGGATTGCCGCATCTCTAGCTAGGATCGATATTCGTAGGCCGGTATTCATAATCGGATCTTATATATATATAAAAGACCGTCTTAAGTTTAGTTTCAAATGTTGAATTGAGGTCGTTTCATTGGCTACGAAGCGTCTAAAGGTGAGCTTAAGTCGGTCTTAAATATATCCGACTATGAATACCGGCCATAATCGGATCTTACGTTTAAGACGTTTCCATCTTTAGACACTGTATAGTCCATTTTATTGGCCACGAAGCATCTGAAGATAAACTCGAGACGGTCTCAAGATTTCATAGGAGCCACCGTAGTGACTTCTCTCGCCGAGACTCCGAAACTAATATTGGTATTTTACAAAAAATTCCGAGAGAACTACAGAAAATCGCCATGTAATTGCAATATTCGTAATCGGGCTACCAATTCGCAGGTCGCAATCGAGCGATTTTTTGCAAGAAAAATCTGAATAAAAAAAAGGATCATTTCATTGAGCGCCAGGGAAAGTACATGTTAATTTTATATATCATGTTCTTTAAGCACAAGCCACATTTCATAATCGTATTGCATATGTTTGAAGAACGTACGTGAAATTAACTTCGTTATTCGGGACGGAATCAGGCCACATTATTACCAATTATTGAAGACTCGGATTGCAAAATCGGACTCTGTAGCTTCTGTCAAAATGATGCCAGAAATGTAAAATGTTTCGCGAGAACCACTCTTGTCTCGTAATATCTCTTGCAAGTCAGGAAAAAGCGTTGAGTGTAAATATCTTGGAAAGTGTAGCCCAGCTGCGCGTGAGTGCCGCTGTTGCGTCGGCGCGAACGATACATCAGCTACACGTCTACATATGTCTGGACATGGCTGCACATGTAGACGAAGTGTCTCGCATTCTCACCGCGAGAGGCTCCACGCTCAATTCGGGATTCGCCTCTATGGCTGCTGCGGACCCTCGAATATAAAATCGGAGTATGAATATACCGGTTTACGAATACCGGTTTTCAAATCTGCTGCGAGAGATTCTTTCTCTCATTTTCTATCTCGATTGGTAACGAAGGCAGCTTCTCGCCCCACGAACACGGCGGAACCGCATTCACCAATAGCGGCGAAGCGCTGCGCAGGCAGGATCAAGCTATCGGCGCAGGCCAATCGACGCGCTCGGCCACTCTCTCACGGTAGACGGAAGCTTAAGGGGCATCCCGCGGCATTCTTTTGGCGCCACCGGTAAATCGCGTCACGAGAGAGAGAGCCGGCCGCCAGCTCGCCAGGAAGCGTTGACGTTCGTCGCCTTCGTCCGGCGAGATCCAGTTTCCCTTAAGCCGCTCTCGCGTGTTTGTCCGTTCTCGGGTCGCGCCGTGCGTCGTCCTACCTACCGATTATTTTTCTCCTCCTCTCCCCCCTCCCCTCGTCCGCGTGTACGAGATCGTCGGTACGGTGTAGGAGGAATCGCGCGCGGTACATACAACACGCTCGTGTCGTCGTCGCCGCCGCCGTCAACGTCGCCGCTGCCGTCGTCGTGGTCGTCGCAGCGCTGAGTGGCTCCTGGAGTGGGTGCTGGATTTTGACGCATCGCCCGGTGCATCGTCCAGGATGGCGTTCAACGGGGACGGTCCACACTCGAAGAGACAGCGGCTCGAAGAATCCGGGCACAGAGTGAGTACGACGTGTGTGATACGGGCGTATTACGGGGTTTATCATCTTCGACGCCGACAGGCGCGCGCGCGTCATCCGCGCTTCGCTCCGTCGCGAGAATAATGACGCAACGGGGCGCGTAGTATCGCGCCTGTTCCCGTCTCATCGTCGTCGGCCGTCGTTCGCCGAGACGAGACGAGAGGAAGGCGCCATTTATCGGAGTAATGATCGCGCTCGAGAGCGAGCGGCAGAGAACGCGTGTTCGCCGACGCTGCCGCCGCGCGCGCTCGAGACGCGCTTTCCGGAGCAACGCGCCGCGCGGCGCCATTTAACTAACCCACACGATTCCTACGGTCATGCCGTCATGCACGCGTACGTCGGAACGCGCGCGCGTCGCCGGCATGGCGTTCGTTAACAATGGGCGTCTTTTTTTTCCATCGGGGGAGACGCGACAGTCGAGCGGCGCGGACAGGCTCGTCGAGCGGACCTGTCTCGGGAGAAAAATTGCCGTATCGACTCGCCGGCATTCAGTTGTCTCTCTCTCTCTCTCTCTCTTTCTTTCTCTCTCTCTCTCTTTCGGGTCGATCGCGGCTGCCTGGTGGGAATGCGCTGCTGCACCTTTTCAAACGCTTATTCCCCGCTACTCGAGTCCGGTTCTTTGACATTTAAGCCGCAAAAATCCCGCGCCTGTGTATCAGGACCTATAATAAATGTGTGCTGCCTTTCGCAGCTGCGCTAAACCGCGCTGTTTACGTGAGACCACAAAGTAGACACGTACGTTTTGACACTCAGGTAGAGAAAACTCGATTTCGGGGAAACGGGACGATATCGGAGGGTGTTTTTTTTTGGAAACACAGCTGTGCGAACGGACTCCCTGCGCAGGTCGGACGCAGACGTTTAACCTGTCATTCACTCCAAAGTCGCGCCGTTTCCATCGGAACCGTCTTCCGTTATTTCCACGCACGTTGTGGAAATATCACGCGATTTCGACAGATCCCGATGCGTTATCTCCCGCTCCTCTCTCTCCCAGAAAAACGTTACATGGTCATTTTTTCTTTTTATCATGGCTCTGAGATAAGTGTATTTACGTAGCTCTCGATGTGTATCTTCGCACGTGTGTATCTTCTGCGTAGTACAGTCGAATTGGAGCTCGAAATCACCGATCGCACCTAATCTCGCATAATTCCGACGAGAGTCGTTAGACCTTGGTGCGACGATCGCACAATTCCGACGAGCAAAACTCGAAATTGAACGCGCGATAAAAAACAAGGCGAAGCGCAGTTTGACCGACTCGAGAAGAGCGGGGAGTTAATTACATTCCACATTTGTTAGCTCGTGATATTCACTTTTGCACGCCCTCGCTCCGATATCACGCGAAATATTTATCAGCGCCACTTGTTTATTCCCTCGCTTCGTTTCGTAGGGAGGCAACGAACAGGATATAACACACACACACATATCCTTCACATTTTCCTGCTTGGCATTGCGTTACTACCAAGATTCGAGAATCTGCCGGATCCTGAAATATACTCTCTCTCTCTCACTCTCTGTCGCTGTATTGCGTGTATTTAACACCATCGTAAAGCCGACGAAAGAAAATTCTACCAACTATTTCAATACATTCCGCTGAGCATAGTAGTGCCATGTCTTCGCACGGAAAGACTTTTTCAGCCGTGTCAAAATTATCGGTCGCGGAAATGTTAACAAGGAGCGATATTTAGACAAATAACGATAACGGGGAATCGTGAAAGTCTACATGAGAGAGTCGCAGCTCGCGGGAGCACTGGCGTGCCAGTGAATTAACATTTCGGGCTTCACTCTCGAACGTATCTGAAATTTTGCCGACAATACCCGAACGGTCCAATTTTCGTTTTCTGTGTTCGGTCTGTCCTATAATTTAGTTCGCTGTTAATCGTATTAATTATATTTGCTCACGTGTTGCGAGCTAATTATGACGAGGAGGAAATCGTTATTAATTGCTTTTATATATTTTCTTTTGCACAGCGAGAGAGAGAGAGAGAGGGGGAGAGGGGGAGGGGAGAGACTACTGTTTCTCCGAAATAACTCTCAAAATGTCCCGACTTCTGGACACGCTCAATGATTAATGGAGATTTCGGCTTTACGGTGTTGAGACACGCCGATGTGTCGCGACGGCAACCTGTTATCCGGACGCTCCTCGACTGTGTGGTGCGACAGTGCGTCGTCGGTGGTCGCGCATCGGTGGTCGTTATCGCTAACGGCGATGAGTAACGCGAGAATACACGTTCAAAACAAAGCTGGACGCCGCCGGCAGCGGCGTTGCGTCGCGTCGCGCCCAGTCTTCGTGGTCGATAATTCCGAACGCGTTATCAACGCGTGCGACATCGCGACGGACTCTCCCTCGAGATAACCGCGAGGAGGAGGAGGATAAAGCAGAGCGGCGGCCGAGGGTGAAACGGGGGCAGGGATTCCTCGATTTATTTCCACCGTGAAATCCTTCTTACATGCGATCGATAACACCCGATACTGCCCGTCCTGAGAAGAGAATTCGCGCAGTTGATGTTTTATTATCTTTTTCTACCTCAACGCCTCGTTCCTCCTCGCGCTCTTTTTGCACGATTGCAGACCCTCCCTCCCCCTCGCGCACCCTTCACGTACGATGTATACAATCGCTGTTCTTTGCTATACTTGGATTTATTCTCCTCGCTCCGGCTCCGAAGCGGCGAACGTTCATGTGTGTGTGTGTGTGTGTATGTGTCGGTACACGGCGCGAAAAGGGCCACTACCTCTGACCCTTTTCACAGCCGCGACGCAACTTCTCGTCCCCCCATTGAATTTAGAGTGCATCCGGGTGCCGTTTGTCGTCGACGCAGCAACTGGTCGCTCGACGGTATCGAGTCGGGTTCATGATCCGGTCGCCGGCGCGTAAATCGACTCGTTTGCGCTGTACCGCGCGCCATGTTACATACACACACACACACACACGGGGTCGATGGAACCCGTTTACGTCAGATGCAGCGAGCGTCACGCGCCGCAATTTATATCGCGGATCAAACGGTAGCGTTATGCAAAAGATACGGTATCATCGGTGAAAAATCGAAGATATCGAGATAAGATAAGAATAAGATCGATAGAGTTTCGTCCGCGATTACGTTCAAACGATTATCGCACGTTTCATTCGCCGAAGATTGCCGTATCTACGGACGCTTTGTCCGCGTGTCATGGACAAAGACCTCGCAAAAAATGACTATAGAATCGCTATCGCTTCTGTTTTACATTCGGTAATTTACATCGGATAGTAGAGGCTGATTTCAGTGGTCGGGAGAAAAGTAGGGAATGAAAGTGGACAAATGTGCAATCTCCTTCTTCGAGCAGTGATATATTATAGGGGATATAATTTATGTGTAATATTTTTTCTTTTTTAATTATATGTCGAAAACCAAAACCAATTCTTTCTTTTTCTTGATGTTCGTTTATGATAGAAAATTTTGTGTAAATGAAGATCCATTGAAATTTTGGTGTTACTTTGACACGGGGAATATATTATGGAAGTTAAATTAACATATTTATCTTATTAACAAGTTACTTTTTAACATATTCATCTTGTTAAAGCCACGCAAAAATTTCAATAAACGGTTATTGACATAAAACTGTGCGACCACTTTTTATCGCGATCTCGTCGCCGTTATTTTTCCATTTCAATACGGCTTTTTTGTTTTTCTAAGCGAATTTGTCAAATGTTACGTAACGCCTTCGCGGAATGTCAGAATTTTAAGTAATATAAACAATCGGCCGAACAATGAAAACGTGCATTGAGAAAGGAAATCGACTGTTTGCCGTAGCATCCCCCCCGCGAAATATCTAATTCAACGATAAATCAATTTTTACTTTCTTCGTCTTCGTCTTCAAGGTTTGATACGTTCGAGCCCGCCTCTCGGCCCTACACGGAATAGCGCACACTATTCCATCTGAAGCCCGCCAATCGAGAAACGCCTCGGTAGTCCGACGGAATGACTCAGCCGCGATATAATACGCTGGATATTCCTCGCGCTGACGCAGCTGAATATACGCGGGTCTCTATCGGCAAACGATGCCTCGAACGTTACCCCATTTGCTCTCCGGTGTCTACGAACTTGCGGTGCCAGCAGTCAAGGTCACTGTCACGATGACTGCTACCTCGTGACCTTTCCCGGTACTGTTCGTCCATCGTTCGGGAGACAGCTGCTGATGTAACAGCAGCATGCGTAATATCTCACGCACATACCGCGTGCCACGGTGTAAGCCGCGTTATTTATTCGCGCGTCGGCGCATCGATTTTCCGGTGATGCCCCGCGTCCTCCCCAGAACCGTCTCATTTCCATCCCTTCTCGGCGGCAGAAAAGGGATCGAGGGGGGGGGGGAAGAAACATGTTTATTTTATTACACACTGTGACCGTTGGCTGTGTCGCGTCGTCTTTAGAGCTGCACCTTCAACCTCGTCTCGCTCTTCGAGAAAAGGACTGAGAAAAATAAGAGACATGTTTTCGTCGTATATTCACCGTTCATGATCAGTCCCGCAATAGTGGTAGGTAAAGAAAACACACAAGTGTGGAGCTCTTGCAGGAATTACCGGGGTCGAGAAATATTCAGGTGTGTTTTCAACCATGCTTTCTTTACCGAGAAGATAAATACGTAAATAAAACCCCACGCGGTCCTGAAAAGGTTAGAGAGAGCTCTTCCGAGTCGCTGGGTTGCTTTTTGTCCGGGAGTGAATTCCTCCAAGTTTTCCGCCCTCGGGATCTTCACCCCGCAACCCTTTCGAGCGAGCCCGGTACCTTCGCGTTTTCATTAAACGCGAACGGTGGCTCGTTCATTGTCATAGTTACGACCAATAGGCAAAAGGTTACTCATCGTATCGACGTACTCATACATATGTATGACGAGTCGCTCTAACGCCACTGAAATTCTGAGGGATCTCAAGCAGTCGTTATTCCTAATCCCATTAGATAAATGAAGGTGGCACGTGTGTGACGATGAAATGACTAGTTTCAGTCTAGAGATAT